TTTTTTTTTTTTTTTTTTTGGTCAAAGTTAAGAAAGGAGAGAGGGAACACACAGGTATCATGAGGACTTGAACTCAGAACTACTTGGAAGCACACCAAAGTCGAACGATGTGTTTTAGAACACCTAACGTACTCAGTTGGGCTTTATGATAATGGGCTAATTTTTTTTAAAGAAAATTCTCATATGGGCCAATATAATAGAAGATTACCCAATATACAAAAACTCTTTTATAATATATTCATCCCGTATCCATATTCTAGTTTTCTGCTAGAATACAGGTACGGGTACGGATATAAATACAGGTATCCTGATACAATACTATACGATGGCGTGGTGTATCAGTACTAGGGTTTATTTCATAGCAAACCAGGTTAACGATTTCTCCCCCACAAAAGAAAATCCTTTATGGCTACCAAAAGCAAAGCAGGCAGAAAAATCCCAATTCACCCAAAAACAAACAAGACTAATCTGAAGGGAAAGCAAAACTCCAAGGCCGCCGCCCCAATACCTCACTTACCTGTCCTTGTTATCCTCCACATCCTCCAATTCCTTCCCACCAAACTTGCGATCCGCATAAGCTCTCTTTGCAAGCAATGGGTAGGGCTGTGGTCTTCAATCCCAGTATTAGATTTCGACGAGGACGAGCCACCACATGGCGTCGAAAACCTTGACATAATACTACTCCAACATACGAACTTCATCAATTTCTTGGACAGGTGTTTGGAGTTCCACCAGAAATGCGAGGGCTTGGACAAATTCCGGCTTCGTATGACGTTGAGTTCAGTCGAAGACAAAGACAAGCTTGGAGAGTGGTTGTGTTTTGCAGTTGGAAGAAGAGTCAAAGAATTAGATATCAGCCTCAAATATAAATATGAGGTCAATCAATATTGCTTTTCCTCTACCTTTTTCAATGCAAAGCCATTAGTTATTTTGAATTTGGAGAATGTGACAATAGCGTACAGCGGTCAGCCTATAAGCCTGCCCTCATTACAAACTCTGTCCATCAGAAGAGTGAGACTCACAGCCTCGTCTCTCTCCGCATTAATTTCAGGCTGCCCTTGCATTCAGTATTTGTCGTTAACTTCATCTTCTTGCTTTGAATCCTATGACTTATCCATGCAGACCCTTCTTGGTGCAGAGTCTTTAACTTCCTTGAATCTAAAGTACGTGAGAGTAAAGGACGACAATAATAATGATCCTAAAGCTCCTATAGGCCTTCCCTATTTGAAAACAATGTCCCTCGAAATTGTGGACCTGTATTACCCCCAGTTAATTTCAGGGAGCCCTTCCCTTGAGCATTTGTCAGTATCTTTTTGTTTCGCTAAATGGTATAGATCACCTAAGATTCCACGTTCTTCCAGTCTCAAATCCTTGGAAGTCAGAGATTTCGATTCTAAGGTGGTTCAAGTGAGTGGAGCTAAGAGTCTTGAATCTTTTACCTTGGTTTCAGAATCTTCAATGCAGATTGAGAGTATACAGTTGGATGGTTGCAAAAACTTGAAACATTTGAGCATTCGTGCTCCGAACCTGCCAGACTTTAAACTACACCTTCATGGATGCGAACATCTTGTGAAGGCCACACTTCATATTCCAGAGTTGGATGTAGGAAGCTCCTCCAATGTGGAATGGGAACATTTTTCTTCTCTGACAAAATATCTTAGAAAATTTGGACCTTGCAAGAATATATCGCTATATGTTGATGATGCCAAGGTGATTTCTACATCCTTACTGCATATGCATGCTTTGATAGATTTTGAGTTCTGTATTTTGTAAATTTTTTGTATTCTATTCCAACTTCTGCTTCAAGTAATTCTTCCACACTGATCATGATTTCCGTTTTTGAATCTTGTGCATGTTGTTGTAGGCTCTTATCTTCCCAAAAAAATTGAGAAGGACCTGCCCTCCACCATTACCTACTCTCAACACTCTTACTGTATCCATCAGTTCTCCAAGAGGTGCAAAAGATTGTGACTTGAGGCACTCTTTATTTTGGTTGGCACCTTCTGCAGAGTTTCTATCAATGAAATACTCTGACATTTCTTCCAAGTACAAGTACAGAAAGAAAATTCTTTAAAGGTGCAAGTTTTAATATCATCTCGCAGTTTATTATACTGCACTCGAAGACACGTTGCAATGTTCTTGTTTCAATAATTCTCTCCTTTTCAAACAAGGTGAAGTCACAATTTTTTTTTTAAACAAAAATATATTAATTTACATTAGTTTGCCCAGTTAACAAGCGAATTGTTTTCGAGTGCATATACAATTTAAGAGTGCAAAACCTGTTAATATTTGATGCAGATCAAATGAAAATGTTAGTTGAATGATAATTTGTTCAAAAGCTTCTTTGACTGCAGAGATTGTTGGTGAACAGAGTTAAGTGTGCTTTCTTCCTGAAATTTCAGTGGTGTTGATTGTTGAAGAATGGTTTAGTTTATAACATTTTAATCGCAATGAACAAAACTATTGAAGAAGTTAGTAAATTTCAGTGGTGTTGGTAATTAGATAGATGAAAAACAAAAGACTAAATGTTTCTATGTCATGCATGACAGCAAATGATGCAGAAACAAAAATAATCAAACGCATTCTTCTGCGAATATTGTAGTGTAAAAAATTTGTGTTAACATTAATTCTTCTATGTTGCATGATTGTATAAAGAATCGATCATTAAATTCTAAAAAGAACCAAATAATGAATTTTCCTGTTTCTGTTTGTACAACATTTGATGAACTACTTAGAAAAGCTTGCAACCAAATTCATCTATGGATGTTCCCTCGAGACGAGATGAAGCTGATTTTGATGCAAGTTCTCTAAGCTGATCCGAACTTCTTCCCAGTTGCATAGCAACCTTCATTTCAAACAACTCCCCATTTTCTCTTTTCTCCAAATCTTGTTCTTCAAGTGTGGCTTGAATTGTATCCTCCAATTTGTTGAAGAAGCCAGCGCAGTTCCTATACATCTCAAACACCATCCCAATTTGCCCACCATGCTGAAATGCATTAACTGCGCTAGCCAATGACCCTGCAGCCACTGCCACTATGGCACTAGCTGACCCATGGCCCACAAAAGCAGAGCCAATGGCTGCAACCCCAGTTAGCAAAGGGCCTGAGATTGCCAAAATCTTGTTGATCTTCAACACCAAGCTCCCCAGTCTCTCATAGTCTTCTATGTCTTTCGTCTTCACCACTTCAATAATTTCCCTCATTTCCTCTTCAAGTTCAGCACTCCACCCATTAATCTTTCCCATCTGGGAGTTGGGTTTGCTTGGCTTTTGAGATTGAATATTTTTAGGCCACCAAACAGCTGGCTCAAATTTTTTAGGGAACTTTTCAAGCATGGCTCCAAGCAAAGGAAGTGGGTAAGCTTTGTCGAGTGCCAAGACCTTCTCCATAGTGTCCTTCACATATTGTTCAGTAGGATCATGAAGGGCAAGCATGGTTTGGATTTGGCTCTGGAGCTGCTTGAACAATCTTGTGGCGTTGCGCTGTTCCTCAGCGAGCTGCGAAGGCTGGATCTTGTTCATCACAAGCAGCATTCCGGAGGCTGCAGAGAACAAAAGAGTGGAGGAGATGTTCAAGGCCAAAACGGACACTCCAGCACCGGCTGCAGTGCCTGCAATTCCAGCCATGAGTGTAGCTGAGAGAGTGATCATGTTGATGGAGTTGAGAAGAAGCGTGCTCCAGTTGTCGCGCTGCTCGCGAATGTTGTTGTGCATCTCAACTCTGTCTGCTACGTCTTCTAAGATTGCATAGAGCTGAGTTGTAGCAGCTGTAGGAGTTTCTGGAATGGCAGAACGGTTATTGTATGAATCATTATCAAGGATATGTTTTGGTTCCCTCAATTGAAGTCCCTCAAGCACCAGCTTTGTTGCTGTTTTTGGGACTGTGAAGCGGACTCCTGGGAGCTTGGGGACATGGATAGCAGCGTTGATATTTGATCTCCTTGAAGAAGAACAGCATGAAGAAGAAAAAGAAGAAGAGAAAATGAGGGTTGAAGTTTGCAAGGAAGCCATTTAACTTGTTGGGTTTTCTTGGATCTCTTTGGTTGTGAAGTTAAGAGTATTGAAATGAAAGAGGATCTGAGTTTTTCTCTTTGGTGCCTCTGTTGTTGTTGTTGTTGTTGTTGTTGTTGTAGGAGGAGAGAAGAGTTTGAGATGAAAATAGAAGGTCCAATTTGGTGTTATTTATAGTGGGGAAGCACAGCCGAAACTGAAAGGAAGGAAGAGGTCAGATTTGGAAAATATTGACCGTCTTGGCTGACCTGCAGCCTGACCCATTCCCTTATTTTTAATTTTCTCTGTTCAAGATTTGGTCCACTAAGGCTCCACTCTCTCTCTCTCTCTCTCTCTCTCTCTCT